TCTTTAAAGCCCCAGCTTTCTTACCTGTAAATCAGAGGTGATGATTTTATATATGTCTCCTAAGGTCTCGTGGGTTTGTAAATGGTAATCTATGTAAAGCACGTGGCCTAGTGCCTGGACTGTAGCAATAGCTCAAACAAACAGCAGGGCTATGATAGGATTCAGTAAACGAACAACTCAATGGGACAGGCGTGGCATGTGAGGGCTGGGGACCCTCGCGGCAACAGGTAAGAGGACAGGCCCTCCTAGCTGCTGGGTCCTTTATTTCATCTCCTGGCGTCCTATCCCTTCTCCCTGCACCTGCGGACCCTGGGAAGGGCGTTTCTCCCAGGCTCCAAGGGGAAGAATCCCCCTCCCTTTGCTGCTGCCAGGTGTGATTTTTCTCTGTTCCAGTTGCTCTGCCATGGCAAATCCCATTGGCTTGTCAGCTTCCAGGGGTTCCTCGAAATTCCTGGTCCACCGAGTGGCACCCTTTTCTTGCTTTCCTGCACTGCGAAAGATTGTGTTCTATTTTCTTGTCCCTTTTGTGTCATTTCCAGGAAATTCGTAAGAAGAAATAGAAAGCTGGTACTTCTCATTTTACCATCTTGAACATTTAGTTCCTTTCTCTTTGCTGATAGTACGGGAAGGAAATCCAGGAGACTGCTGGGAGGCTCCTTCAGCCTGCATCCGCCCGGGCACCCCCGGGGGAAGGAGCTCGATTCGCCCTTCTGCGCGAGCGTTCCTTCCAGCCACTAGGGGGCACTGCGCCCTCGTCGGTGAATGGAGAGGTTCCCGGGCCTCCCGGCCCAGATCCACGCCTGTGGCTGTGTCAAGGTCCAGTGGTTTCCAAGCCCATCCCGGATTCGAGCCCGCCACGTGCAGCGCTGCTGTGCAGAGCCCTGGCGGAACCCACCATGAACAAGGCAGGGAGGGACTGAGGGGGACCCAGGGCCACGCACTGTCCTTCCAGCCTGGGGATTTGCTCAGGTGCTCAACCCACGTGGTCATGTCCCCCCTCCCCGCCCCCTGTTCTTTCTACAAGTCACATGCTGAGCCCCTGGCCCATCACGGCGACAACGCTTGAGCTTCTTACCGAAGCCCTCTGCAGATCCCGTGTTTGCTCACACGCATGTGAGCGCTCACATGCTCAGCCAGGCATCGTCCCGGGCACTTACTTGTGTTGCCATTTGCTGTTCGAAGTGATCCCACGGGGTGGGTATGTTGTCGTCCCCCATTTTACAGATGAGGAAACTGAGGTGTAGAAAGGTCGAGGGACTTGCCCAAGGTCACGCAGCTGTCATGTGACAGAGCTGGGATTGGAACCTGGGCAGCCCGTGATCTCGCCGCCCCCTGTGTTAGAGTTAGCGTGGGCCCTCTGGGTTGTCTTTCTCCGTCTTCCCCGCGCATGACACCGAGCAGGTTCAAGGAGTCAATCGCTGTCCTCAGAGGGCAGGTGCTGTAGGGGTGCAGCCACTCACCAAGGCTGATCTTGCTACTTCTGCCGCCAGTGAGCCCAGGTGCCAGCAACGGGGACCAACGTGGAACCTCCCCCCCCCCCATGTCACTTGGTAGCAACAGATAGTCACTGGACCCTTCCATTTTGGAAGGAGCAGGGATCCATCTTGACCAAATTGACCAGCAGTGATTCTGGGTACCGGTTTCTCTTCCCTGCCGCCACCATGGTCCAAGGACTTAAAGAATGTTTGACCCACTGGCACAGGGTCCTTCGTGCCACTGAGCGGGACCAGGGCAGCTGACACACGACAAAGCAGATGCAGCAGTGGGTACGTCACCATGGAATCCTCCAGTCCTACCATATACCAACCCGCCCAGGAGCTGCTGGCCTGGGAGAGCAACGGGACAGCCTTTCCCAGGTGCTGCTGAGATGTCATCCTGGAGGCGACGCCCTGTGACAACGGGGGACTCTGTCCTCCAGGGGCCGTGTCCTCAGTAGAAAGAATGCGCGGGTCTGGGAACCAAGGGGGTGGAGGAGGAGCAGCTCTCATTGTCATCGCCCCCGGGGACCTGCCTGGGGGGGATCTGTACCTCTCACATCGACTTCTCGCGGGTGTAAGGTCCTGGCTCCCAGAGAGGGGAAGCTTCTGCTAGGGGACATAGCGAGAGTCCCGTTAGACTTTAAGCAACAGCTACTATTGCTTAAAGGGACCCAGGGACTTTGGGCTCCTTGAATCAAGAAATGAGCAGGTGAGAAAAGCAGTCACCATTCTATCAGAGAAACCGATCCTACCCATCACCTCCAGCAGGTAGAGCTGCTGTTATAGGGACACCCAGGTGATACGCAGGACATCCCTCGGTACTCCTCTGCCCAGGGCTGTTAATGAATGGACAAGTGTAGCAGGCATGGCCTGCAAAGAGCATGGTGACCAGGAACTCAGACCCTTTGGGTCACTCTGCCCCATAAACCATCTAGATCCACGGAAGTGCTAACCAAAGGGGAGGGAATCTAGAACGGGGTAGCAGAGGAGGGAGAGACAGGCATCTGTCACAGCCATGAGACCAGCAGCCACACTGTATACATCTCTGCAGGAAAAAAGACAACCAGAATATTGGAGGGACCGTTGCTCTCAAATGGAGTGACTTTAACGTAATCACGCACTGCAAAAGGACATCTCGGTCAACCACTGACATGAAATATGATGGTGGGGCCATAGATCATAATGCCATATTGTTACTGTACCTTTTCAACGTTCAGCTATGTTGAGACGCACAGATACTTGCCACTGTGTTCCAGCTGCCTACAGTGTTCGGTACAGTCTCCTGCTGTACAGGCTTGTAGCCGAGGAGCAAAATGCTACACCATGGAGCCCAGGTGTGTAGTACAACTGCATCTAGGTTTGTGTAAGTGCACTCTGTGATGTTTGCACAACAAAATCACTTAGCGATGCATTTCAAACAATGTGTCCCCAATGCTCGCTAAGTGATACATGAGTGTCTGCGAAGCAAGTTGACCCAAGAGGTGCAAGGGGTGGGCTGTATAGGATGCTGTGACATGCCACGTGGATTTGCCCTTCCGGACCGAGGCGTTTATTCCCTGCGGAATGACCAGGAGTGTTGCCTGCTAAGAGATCACAGCTGAGTCCCTTGCGGGATTGCCTTGGCCCAAAGCAGCTGCCTTGGCCGAGGTCCTGCTCCCATTTGATGACAGCCCACATCCAGTGACTAGGGGACGTGAGGGCAGAAAGCTCTGGCCCCCTCGCCCCAATCTGGAACAACACTGAACGGTCCTTCCAGCCTCTGACCCCTACGGGCTAGCAGAGGTCCCCTTGGCAATGGCGGGGCAACTACACTTCCTGCCACATGCCACCGCAGGACAGAAATCCTGCTTTTCTCACTGGCTTACAGATATCAGTTCTAATGCCACCTGCACACAGATCTCCATCTCAGAGTCTATTTCCCAGGACCCCAGCCTATGACAGGGGCCACGTCTCTCTTGCCTGTGCCACTGGAGAGGCTCAGCAAGTATTCATGGAATGAATGAATCAATTACAAGGGATCTACCTGGGCCTCTCACAAAATCGCCTTACATTATCGCAATAAGATTCCTTGCCTCCAACCAATTTGACCCACCACTGCCAGATCAATACTTCCGAAGTGCCTCCCCTGCTCAAGAACTCTCAGTTGCTCCCTATCACCTACAGACAGATCCCTTTGGCCTGGCATTCAAGGACTTTAACGCGCTTGCCCTGGCCAGCCTGTCCAACCTCAGCTTTTAATGCTCATGTACCCCATCCCTACAAGCTGACCAACCAGCACCATTATTAGCCTTCCTCAGACTCAGCTACGCGGTCTTCTTCTCACGCAGCTCCCTCCCTATGAAATTGCCTGCATCTTCCCCAAGTCGCCTTCTGGTTCCTTCCAAACACCTGACATTCTTAACTGCAAGGCAGTAAAATGCAATGGTTAGAGCCCAGGCTCTGGATTTAAGAGGGCCTTGGGTTCATATCCCAGCTCTGCCACTTCCTGGCTGTGTTACCTGGAACAAGTTACTTTACCTCTCTGTGCCTTTGTTTCTTTATCTGTAAAGTGGATTAATAATAGAATTCACCCCCCCGTAGGGAAAACTCTGGAATTGGAGACAATCTGGGTAAACAGAACAGCACTATCACAGAGTAAACAGGAAACATTGGCTATTATCACCACCCTTTGGGGTGGGGTCCAACACACTTTTTCTGTAATGGGCTACATGGTAAATATTTGAGGCTCTGCAGGCCATGTAGCCTCTGCTGAAACTACTCAAGTCCGTAGCACGAAGGCAGCTGTAGATAATGCGTGAATGAAGAGTGTGGTGTGTTCCAATAAAACTTTATTTACAACACCAGGAAATGGGGGTTGGATTTGGCTCACCTGCCATAGTTTGCCAATCCCTGCTTTAGGGCCCAGCCTGGAGGGCAAGGCTTCCCCAGTTCCCCAGGTGACAGTGGCTTCTTCCTACAACTCTGAATATTCTAACTACCTTAGACAACAACAGCAGTAACGACAAAACAACACCCGACTGGCACGTGGCCAGCGTCATCCCCTGCCTGTGTGTAGGTTGGAAGGACACAGTAGGTGGCAGCTGAGGTGGTGAAGGGCATGGATGCAGTGGGCAGGTAAACTCAGGCTCTTGGTTCTGCCGACACACCACGTGACTTGGGCAAAGGATCTCACCTTCTGAGCCTCAGTTTCCCCAACTGCAAAATGGAGATTGCAACAGTGCAATGACACGCACCTCCTGGGCTGCACCGATGTGTCAACAAGAAATGGCCAATCAGTGCTAGATCTATTATTTTTTTATTGCTATTTCACTTTTACCACCTTCCAGCCATTGCGGTGGCGCTGGTGGTGTTCATTGTTATTAATCGTTACAACACTGATGATGACGCTACTCTCTCGCTACACCATAGCTCCTGGGTGCCGGAAGCCCTGGCGAAGCTGTCTTTGCCTTCCCCCGAGGCCATGAACAGACCTAGCTGGGCGGCTGCCTCGCTGCGGATGGCCCGAGCTGGGGGTTTACTTACGACTGGGGGACTCCTCCAATCCCAAAGCCCACCAGGCCCCGGAGGACCAGGATCCAGCTGTACACAGGCGCAAAAGCGCTGAGGATGCCGTAGTACAGAGTCCAGAACACGCTGATCTTCAGCCCCTGCGGAGGAGGAAGACAACGAACCGTTAGGGCTTCTCAGCCCCTCCAGGTGGCCTGGCCCCCTGCCCCACATCGGAAGCTACACGGGAACCCACAGAGCCAAGGGGAGGTCCGAGGTCCTCCGTCTGGGCAGCGGCAGCCTCCAGGGTGTGTGTGTGGGAAGATCACGGGGCATTCTGGGTTGCCCCAGTGATCGGCATTGAATGCCAACCTGTGCCCAGAGATTCGAGATCTCCCACACTGCAGGAGACCCGTACAGACTTGTCGTGCGTCCCATCCCGGCTCCGATGTCCTGCCAGTCGTCACGCAGCTGAAACTCCGCGATGATCTGTACCTAGATACTCTCTCTGCTTTTACATAGAAATAGGATTTGGGGGCATACTTTGAATCTACACATAATTTTTCAGGGATGCAGGTAAAATCAAAGGAAGATTTACTTTGCTTTACCTGGAACGTTACAAAATTGTTTGTTTCGGGAAGCCGTGTTGCCAGCGGCAATGCCACCTGTGGTATTTGAGTCACTGACGGGCTGGGTTCACAGGGCTCATCTAGGGACAGACTGATCTAAACCTTATTTTGAAATGTGAAATATATATACAAAAAACAAAGCATTGACAATATTCAGTTAAATGCAAACATTAGTAATCGGAGACATATCTTGGCTCCTTCCTCTGATCACCTAGGCAGCGTTGTATTTGCATATTGAAAATAAATCTTATGAATGACCTGTTTTTATTTCTCCCTCATATCATAGGGCATTAGAACTCATTTCTAGGCCGGGCGCAGTGGCTCACGCCTATAATCCTAGCACTCTGGGAGAGGCCGGGGCGGGAGGGTCACTCGAGATCAGAGTTCAAAACCAGCCTGAGCAAGAGCAAGACCCTGTCTCTACTAAAAATAGAAATAAATTAATTGGCCAACTAAAAATATATAGAAAAAATTAGCCTGGCATGGCGGCACATGCCTGTAGTCCCAGCTACTCGGGAGGTTGAGGCAGTAAGATCACTTGAGCCCAGGAGTTTGAGGTTGCTGTGAGCTAGGCTGATGCCACGGCACTCTAGCCCGGGGAAACTGAGTGAGACTCTGTCTCAAAAAAAAAAGAATTGATTTCTTTTTTAAAGTATGTGAGGGACCAGGGTTCTTTTATCTTTGAAATTTATTTCTAGATACTTAAGAAGGCATTATTAAAATTCGTCACTTTTCTTTTTTAGGATGGGGTCTTGCTATGTTGCCCAGGCTGGACTTGAACTCCTGGGCTCAAGTGATCCTCTTGCCTCAGCCTCCTGAGTAGTTGGGACTATAGGTGCATGCCACCACACCTGGCAACTTTTTCACTGTTTTTTTTTTTTTTTTTTGGTCAGCTACATTTTTTTAAAGTAAAGGGGACCTGAATTCCACAGTATTGAGAACCACGGATGGTCACAGTGCTTCAAGGCAAACATGATGCACATTTCTAGAGTGTTAGTTACCCTTTAGAGATTGAGGAAAAAATTAAGGGCGAATGTAATTTACAATACTATTTTTATATCACAATCAACACCAAACATATGATGAAGTAGAATGCAAATTTTATGTGAGTTTTAAACCCGCAGCGTGAGGTCTGGGGCAGGTCTCTCTGCAACACCCCTCTCCAAGGTTGATAACTCCAAGGTTGAGTTTCGCCCTCCTGCCCCCTGGGGACACTTCAGCGGGGAAAGTGTGACACATATTGATTTTAGCTCTAAAACCTTAAACCGAATTAAAAGAGACTAGAGAGGAGATCTGGAGGTCTATCAGATGATTTCAGGTCTTTTGGAAAATGATTTTAGACGGTTGAGAGAATATTTTAAGGAGTTTTGCATCCCTTGCAAGAAAGGTATTTCTTTTTCATTTCAGTCTTCATTCTTATGATTAAGCCATGAGGTGCTTGTCTGGCCTTAACATCCTTTTTTTTTAGGCCAGGCACGGTGGCTCACACCTGTAATCCCAGCACTTTGAGGTGGGAGGATTATGTGAGGCCAGGAGTTCGAGACCAACCTGGGCAACGTAGTGAGACCTTGACTCTAAAAAAAGAAATTAGCCGGGCATGGTGGCACATGCGTGTAGTCCCAGCTACTCTGGAGGCTGAGGCGGGAGGAGCACTTGAGCCCAGGAGTTCGAGGCTGCAGTGAGCTATGATCATACCACTGCACTCCAGCCTGGGTACGACAGAGCAAGACCCTGTCTCAAAACAAAAACAAAAGCCTTTTGAGAACACCTACTCAGGCCGGGCGCAGTGGCTCACGCCTGTAATCCTAGCACTCTGGGAGGCCGAGGCGGGCGGATTGCTCGAGATCAGGAGTTCTAAACCAGCCGGAGCAAGAGCGAGACCCTGTCTCTACTATAAATAGAAATAAATTAATTGGCCAACTAATATATATAGAAAAAATTAGCCTGGCGCATGCCTGTAGTCCCAGCTACTCGGGAGGCTGAGGCAGGTGTCCAGGTACATACAGCCCCGGTCCCTCACTAGAAGTTTGTGTCTACACAGGCTCCCAGCAGGGCGTGTCAGCTCCAGCGCCGCAGGTGGTGGCGTGGCTGCGCAGTGACACACTCTGCTGGCCAACTTCCCTTTCCCTCCATCGCACGGTCTCCACTCCTTACTGGCGTGGCCTGGGACCCCGCCCTCCCCACGTACGCCATTTGTAACGGGTGAAGGGACTTTGCTCTTGGGGGTCTTGCTCAGGGAGAACCCTACATTGTGACCCCTCTACGCATCGTCATATAAGAACATGGTCATTCCTAAAAAATTCTTATCTGTTGAAAAACACCACTGAAAGTTCAACAGAGTGGAGCTTTACGAAATCTAAAGCCCTCTAAGACCCTTATCACCTATTAAAAATGAAATAATCATCTTAATTTATTCTTTTCTACATCTGGGATGTTTCATTGCTGTATGTTTAGTTTGCACCTATTGGGGATGTGGACATAAAGTCAGTCTCTAGCCATACCTGCTGTCAATGGCAAGGCCAGGTTTGGCACTGGAATTATTAAAAATCGCCATCTGGCTGCGGTCAGTTTCTGGCATCCTTTGTGAAACCTGGTTCTGATGGAGAGGTTAGGAGTCTTCTGAAGGTCAAGGTGCTTGAAGGTGCCTGGCCGAGCTCTCCTTCTCCTCCCACCCCTCCCCCGGAACACCCCAGGCCACAGCAT